TGAAACTTGGGGGGCAGTGGGGAGGGCTCACAGCAGGAGGTGAATGGCGGGCAAGTGAGGGAAGCTTCATCTGCATTTACAGCCGCTCCCCATCGCTCACATCAGACACGCACCCCTGCCCCCGTCCATGGTGCCAAAAATGTCGGGCACCGCTGCCGCACAGTGACTGATACTCAGTGAGGCCCCGCCTGGGTGTGAAGTGCCTTCTCTTGTGTTTGTGCGTCACACACGGTCAAGTCAGTCCTCCCTATCTCCAGATTCACCCGCTTGCTGGAACTTCCCTGTGACGCCAGTGTCGATAGTGGCGGCACTGTCGGGCTGTGCACTGGCACACACAGGTGCGGGGTGGGAGCAGAAGTGCAGGCCGGTGTGCACGTCCGGCCGAGGCGAGCAGGCGGTGCTCCTCCTCCTCTTTCCGCGCTCGTTCTGTAAGCACGTGCCTTTTCGCGGAATGTTCAATGCTGTTTTTCACATCTTTGTGGGTTGTCTTGGCAATTTTATTTTCTAAAATGGCCCCTACGTGTAGTACTGAAGGTCGTCTGGTGTCCTAAGTCCAAGAAGGCTGTGACGTGCCTTACAGAGAAAATATGTGTGCTAGATAAACTTCAGGCATGAGTTATAATGTTAATGAATTACCAGTATAGACTCAATAAGGTATCTTTAAACAAACACCTAAAACAAGTTTATGTATTGATCGGTTAATGGTAATTTTTTGATCAGAGGCTCACTGGAACCCAACCCTGTATTCGCCCTGGAGCAGTGATTGACTGACTCATTGTTTGCAGTGACTTTGTAGACCATAGCTACCTCGATTGATGAAAACAGACATCTATTTCACTCCTTCCTGCCTTATTTTGATTTGCTAATTATGATTTTTGCAGGTATATTCATGGACATATTGGCTTGTACTTTCATTTTTTTGTCCTTGTCAGATTTTGGTATCAGGGTTATGCTGCTCTCATGAAATGTGTTTGGAAGGGTGCCTTTTTCTAACATCTGAAAGAATTCGTGTAACATTATTTCTTTAAATGGTTTGGAGCTGCCTGGGCCTAGGGTTTAGTTTTGTTTTATTTTTGTGGAAGGTTTCAATTATGAATTCAATTTATTTAACATATAGAGGTCTCCTTAGAGTTTCTGTTTTGATAAGACTGTATTTCTGCGGAGTTCATCATGCTGGCAATGCTGTTAGGATGCCTTCCTACTATCTTGGTGTCCATGGGGTCCGTAGGATGTCCCCTTTGAGGTTCCTGATGCTGACAATTTGTATTTTCTCATTTTTAATTATCCCTTGATCAGTCTTATTTTGGGGTTTATCAATTTTATTACTTTTTATGAAGAACTAACCTTATTGATTTTTCTCTGTTGTCTGATTTCTGTTTGATTCTTATTTTTATCTTTATTTCCTTCCATTTTATTTCAATTTAATCTGTTATTTTCTAGTTTCCATTGTGTTATCTTTTTGGACCCATAGGTTAATTAGAAATGTTCAGTTTAATTTCCTAACATTAGAGTTTTTCTAGTTTTCCCTCTTTGACTACTTTCTAATTGAACCCCACTGTGGTCAGAGAACATAGTCGCTGATTTCAGCCCTTTGAAAAAGGGCCAGTGTTTAGTTTGTTTTGGTAAATGTTCCACGTGTTTGAAAAGAATGTTTGTTTTGCAGTTGTTGGGTGGTGTTTTCTATAGATTTCTCTTAGATCAACTTGGTTAATTCTCACTTTTTTTTGGTGGCTGGTTCTAGCTTGTTCTGTTAGCTACTGAGAAAGATTGTTCTGTCAATTTTTACTTTACGTTGAAGTTCTATTGTTAGGTGCATACACATTCAGATTGCTTTGTCCTCATGTTGAATTGTCTTTCATCATTACAAAATGTCCCTCCCTGTGTCATAATACTTTTTGCCTTAAAAAAATCGCTAATCTGCTGTAAATGTGACCATGCCAGCTTTTTACTGGTTTGTTCAGTGCTTGTGTGGTTTGTCTTTTCCCATCCTTTCACTGTCTGCCATCCTGTGTTCTTTTTTTCTTTTCTTTGTCTGTCTTTCTCTTTCTTTCTTTTTTTTTTTTTTCAGACAGGGTCTTGCTGCCAACCGGCCTGGAGTGCAGTGTCACAATCATAGCTCACTGCAGCAGTGAACTCCTGGCTCAAGTGATCCTCCTGCCTCAAGCCTCCTGAGTAGCTGGGACTACAGGCATGTGCCACCTCTCCTGGCTAATTTTTCTTTTTTTTATGGAGATCGGGTCTCATTATGTTGCCCAGGCTGGTCTCAAACTCCTGCCATCAAGTGATCCTCCTGTCTCAGTGTCCCAGAGTGCTGGGATTACAGGCATGAGCCACTGTGCTGGGCTCATTCTGTTATATTTGAAGTGTATTTTCTGTAAATGGCACGGTTAGATCTTATTTTTTGTTTGGTATGATAATCTTTGTCTTTTAATAAGAGTTTTTAGTCCATTTATACTTTTTGGATTACTTGTGTATCATGTAATTATGAAAACAATTGGGCTTAATTTACCATCTTGTTCTTTGCTTTCTGTGTGTTCCATTTGTTCTTTTATTTTTTTCTTGTCTTCTGGATTAATCGAATAATTTCACTCTATTTTGTCCTTCTGTTTCAGCTCATAAGTTTTAGTTTTTGTATTAACTTTTTTAGTACTTAACCTAGAGGTTGCAACATGAATTCTTTACTTATCAGAGTCTGTTTTAAATAAGGACATTCTAGTTCCCCTACAATTTAAGAAGCGGTGTAACTCAGTTAACCATTGTTCCTTCTGTATGGCACAAGATCACAACGTTGTTGTTTTAAACAGTAACATTCTTGGTATTATCTACAGGCTACCTCCAGCTTCCAATTGGGATCATGTCCTTCAGCTTGAAGAATTTACCTTTTCACATTCCTAATGCTAGGATGCTGGTGATCAGTTCTTTCAGCTTTGTCTGAAAAGTCTTGATTTTGCTTTCATTTTTTGAAGAATATTTTCATGGGCATATATTTCTAGGTTTGAAGGGTTTTTTTCTTTCCACACGTAAACAGTTTCATTCCACTGTCTTTTGGCTGCTGTTATTTCTGTTAAAACGTCAGAAGTCTGTCCTCCTCCTTCCTTTGAAATTGTTGTGCCCTTTTTCCTCTGCATTCTTTTGAAATTTTTTCTTTTTCTTTTTCTAGCAGCGTGTCTGTGATATGCCCATCCACATGCATCCTTGTATTTCTCTCTGTTTATCCGAGTTTCCTGGCTCCATGAGTTGGTGTCATTCATCAAATTTTGGAGAATTCTTGGCCATGAATCTCTTCAGATTTTGTTCTGCCTCATTCTTTGCTTCTCCTAAGTCATTTACACACATCCAAGGGTGCTTGACTGACTTATGCGTCTCCTAAATTATGTTCTTTCCCTTTATACAGTTTTGTGGTTTTTTAAAAATTGGTTTCTTTCTGATTTCACTAATTCCGTCTTGTGCCGTGCCCATGCTGCTGGTAAAGCCACCCAGTGGGTTCACGTGTTCGGGTATTTTATTGTCCAGCCTGAGAATGTCTTTCGTATAAATTTCAGATCTCTACTGGAATTCTCCAGCTTTTCATCTGTTTTGTCCTTTTCTCTGTGGTCCTTAACATACTGATTGTATTTATGTTAAAGCCCTTGTCTGCGGGCTCTAACGTCCAGCCGTTCGTGGGTCCGCCTGTGTTGTTCACCGTTTTCCTCGCGCGTTTCCCTGCCCTTCACGTGCCAGGCGGCGGTGATGTTACTTTTCTCCAGAGATGTGCTGCTCTTTTCTTGGGGACCAGCGAGTCCAGGCAGGGGCTCAGGTGTCGACTGTGGAGATGAGGGAGGTGGCCAGTCTGCGCGCTGTCCCCCAGGGGCTGTGGGCACCAGGAGAGGCTGCTGCTCGGGTTGGCGTGGCACCAGCCCAGGAGTTGTTTGTCACCATGTCAGTTCCCCAGCAGTAGGGACTTTCCAGTGTGGAGCAGTTTTCGCGAATGTATTTTTCACTTTTCTTCTAATGCGCTGGTTTTGTTTGTTTGCTTTTGGTTGGTTGGTTGGGTTTAGTTTTTGATTCCTGTGACTCTTTCCTGGGTGATCGAGAGGCGCTGGCACTTGGGCCTTCCCAGGCCGGGCCGGAGCTCTCCCTCCTGCCTCGTCCCTAGTCCCTAGTCAGCGCCCCCAGCGGGAGGCTGCCCCTCCCTGTGCTGACAGCCGACTGCACCGGAGTTGGTTTCTCTTCCTCCCCTCTCTGAGGGCGTCTGCCGCCCCCACTAGCCACCGTGGGCAGGACATCTTCCCCGTGGCGATGCACACTCTTAGAGTGGCTCCTGTGCCTGCGGCTGGGATGCCAGTTGCTGTGGGAGCTCCTACCCTAAGCTAGACTGCTTGTCTGTGGGATCCAGATTTCAGCTGCCTTAACTGAGTCTGGGGTCTCCTTGCTGCTCCCTCAGGCCTCTGTGCATCTAGGGCTCTCGTGACTGTGCAGCCTTAAGTCAGTCTCGCCTCACAGTGTGCCCCTCCCCAGAGTCCTTGCTCAGAAGTCGCCTCTGACTCCCTGGTTGGATCAGGCACCCCTGCTGGCTGCCCACGGCTTCCCGTGCGGTGTTGTCACGCTGACCACTCTGGGCCTGATGGCCTCTCAGCCTGTGTTTGGGTGCCCAGAGCCTGCCCTGGACCCGCTGGTTCCGTTGAATCAAGTGCGGCAGCACCGGGCCCAGGCCGCAGAAGAGGGAGGAGTACGGTAGTACCTGTCCCCTGCCTGGAGTTGCTGAGACGGCACACCCTGCTCGTCCTGGGTGCAGAGCGTGTGCCCGCAACATGACCCTTGCCCTCTTCTCGTGCAGTCTATGAGAATGAAGACCAGCTGCTCTGGGACCCCAGCGTCCTTCCCGAGAGGGAGGTGGAGGAGTTCCTGTACAGGGCAGTGAAGCGGAGGTGGCATGAGATGGCTGGGTCTCAGCTCCCAGAGGGAGAAGCCGTGAAAGACAGTGAGCAGGTGGGGGCCGCGCTGGGGGCTGTGGGGCTGGAGCACCCTGAGCCAGGGGTCACACCGCTGCTGCCTCCAGGGGCCAGGCAGGGCAGAGTGAGGGGAGGGGACAGGACCGGTTGGGGTGGGCCAGGGGCTGGAGCCAGCTATGCCAGGTCGGAGGGGGCACCTGCCCAGCGTGTCCAGCATGGTGTTACTCAGATCCACTTGGGGAGGGGTTGTAGATCCTCCCCGATGTCACTTCTGGGATGGTGGCGTAGACATCCCCGTGTCACCTGGGGGCAGGTGGTATAGAAGACACCCCCGTGTCACCCCTGGGGTGGTGGCGTCGGTGCCCCTTGTCGTTGGCTCCTGGAGTGATCAGAAAGTTACCACATCTGCCCCAGGCACTGTACGAGCTGGTAAAATGCAACTTCAACGTGGAGGAGGCCCTGCGGAGGCTGCGGTTCAACGTGAAGGTGGTCAGAGGTGAGCCACAGCCCGGCCCCCCCCAGCGCTGCCCCCGGGCATGGCTGACCTGCCGCCTGGCCCTGTTTGCAGATGGGCTGTGTGCCTGGAGCGAGGAGGAGTGCGGGAGCTTTGAGCACGGCTTCCGCGTGCACGGGAAGAACTTCCACCTGATCCAGGCCAACAAGGTGAGCACGCCGCCCCGTCTGGCTCCACCAGGGCTCCTTGGTCTAGGGGGGGCCCGGCACCCTCACCTTCCACTCCTGGCAGCAGGTGGGGGCACAGCAGTCTCACAGCAGACGCGGCCGGGGCCTGGAGCCCCATGTCCACGCCTTGCCCCGTGCCTGGTGCTCTCTTGCCCAGGTCTCCTCTGCCCATTTTCCTGGGCCCCTGCCAGTGACCAAGAGAACAAGCCTTCAGTTTTGGGAAAGAATTTGCCAAAAGGCGAATTCTAGTAGTCATTCTTGTCTCGTGCTCCACCCCAAGGACACGGGCACCGAGTCTTCCTCTTCGTGTCCTTAGAGCAGAGCCTGCTGGCTCCGTGCCCGGCACCGACCCCACAGTGGGGCCCCAGCCTGGACCCTACCTCTGCCTGATGCCCTGAGGATCAAGGACCCGGGTCTGGTTCTCTCCTCCAAGGACCTGGTTGTAGGGGACTGGGGTTGCTCAGGTGACGGTGCCCAGTGCTGTCCCAGGCAACGGTTGACCCTCCTGTCAGATTTCAGCGAGGCACGTACGCTGAGCAGGTCAGCCAGACCGGCTGCGTCTGTGACAGGATGCGTTGGCCGGCACACCTACTCGTGCATAGGCGGGGGGCGTGTGGCCCACGAAGCCTGAAGTATTTTCCACTTGGCCCTTTATGGAAAACCTCCCTTGGTGCCTTTAAAGTGTGCCCGCAAGAGAGGTTGCCTCGGACTTGTTCCCAGGCAGGCCTGGCCAAGCCAGACGGGTCCTCGTGTGGTTTCCCAAGGTTGGTCCCAGTGTCGTCATCCCCCATTCTGGTTGGCAGCAGGTTTGTTAGCCCAGAGGCTGTCCAAGCAGGGATCTTTTCTGCGGTTGCCAGCTGTGGGCACAGCCCTGGGTTTGCTGTGGCATGAGCCTCCCGTGTGGAGACGCACTGAGCGCCCTGGGCCGCCCTGCACACCCCATGGCGCAGGAGGCGTCTCCAGATGCGCATCCAGCTCCGTGTCAGACACACTGAGCGTGAACACGCACTTGCTGTGTGTATGTGACACGTCGTAAATGGAACTTTGAGTCTGGGCTCCACAGAACCTACACGTGTCCTTCGATGGCGTCTTGTGTAGACTCAGAAGTTTGCACTCTGAACGCAGGGTGGTGGCAGTAGGAGAGGAGGCTCCCTGGCGGGCCGCATCCCTGAGCCCCAGGGTCCTCGTTGCCACCCCGAGCTCAGCCTGCGGGGGCAGCAGGCAGGCCCAGCTGTCCTGGGTTCGTGGTCTGGGATTCGTGGCCTGGGATTCGGGAGGCAGGCCCTGGACGGGGGAACTTGGAGGGTTCATTTGCGTTGTTGCTGCTGCAAAAGGAAGGGAGGGAGTCCCAGGGCAGGAGGGGCTCTGGTGGGGGTTGCAGCAGGAGACAGCACCAGAGTGCTTCAGGCGAGGGACGAGCCCCACAGCAGGGACACCTGTGACCCCCAGACGGGGCTTGAGGGGGCTGTGGGGGGGTCTCGTTTTGTCTGAGCAGTAGGTGCTCTGCCCACGAGTGCTGTCCTGGGGGCCCAAGGTGTCGTCCTGGAGCGGAGACTGGCAGGTAGGGGCCGAGACGATGCCCGACCCATCCCCACAGGTGCGCACGCGGTCGGTGGGCGAGTGTGTGGAGTACTACTACCTGTGGAAGAAGTCGGAGCGCTACGACTACTTCGCCCAGCAGACACGGCTGGGCCGGAGGAAGTACGTCCCGTCCGGAACCACGTGCGTGCAGCGCTGCTCTCAGCAGTAACGACGCGGCGGCTGCCCCCCCTGCGGCCGGGGGCGGGCATGGTGGGGCGCCTGGGCGGCCTCCCGGGTGGGGTGCCCACCTCCCTGCTGCCCTGCCTCTCATGGCACCCTCTCCCCACAGGGACACTGACCAGGACCTGGACAGCAGCGACCCTGACGGCCCTGGCCGCGCACGCCCTGAGCATGACGCCCTGGCGGGGCTGCACACAGGTGAGCTGTGGGGCAGCAGCTGGTCTGGGAGCTGTGAGGATGGGGGCCCTCCTCTCCAGCACCCTGAGGAGCTGGCATCTGCCCGGTGGGAGTCAGTGCCGCCCCCCACCCCTGCTGTGAGGAGGGATGGATCATGCACGCCATCCTCTGGGCCTGCTGGAGGGAGCTGCGCGGCCCCACCCCTAGAGGCCCCAGGCAGAGTGGGGGCTCCTCTTTGGCCTTGGTCTGTGGAGGGCCTGCCTGCCCCAGGTGGGGGTGCTGATCCCCAGGCGAGAGGCCATGGAGGCAGGACCAGAGCATCTCTGAGCTCTGCCCAGCGTCCGGGGCCCGAGGGCCATGCGGGAAGGAGACCCGGCCGTGGGTGGATGCTCAGTTTTTGACAGTGACCCGCAGAGGGAAATGGGTCTGTTTGCTTAGGTAGTTGAGTCTGGTGAGGGACACCTGTTTCCAGAACCTGAGTGGTTCCGTGGTTTGCCCAGAGGTGTCCGCGACTGCCTGGTTCCCAGGTCTGCACATACGGCGCCTGCGCACTGCACGTTGGAACAAGACGGCCGCAGGATCCACGGCTGCCCTCGCTGTGCAGCGCCTTGGGCATTTTTAAAATCTCTTGTCATATTCTGTTCTGTTTCTAAAGATGTGGGTCAGGACCCACTCAGTTGATTTTACAACCTTCCAAGGCTGGGGCCACTAACCTGGGGGTCTGCAGATTTTGGAATAACGGGCTGCTTTTGTGCCTGGGCATATTTTGTGTATGTGTGGACGCCTTTTTTGAGGAGGGGTCCAGAGGCTTCAGTGGACCCGACCGAGGTTAGGCATGAGCCCTGCATGGGTCACAGCCTGGAGCACAAGTGTGACTCCAAGGGAGGTGCGTCCTCTGGGACCTTCTGCACCTCGGCAGGCTATGGGGGCCTGGCGCCCGCGATGGCCCGGCCCTCAGCTGTGCTCTCCCCACAGAGCCTCTGAACGCGGACGGCACGGCCAGTGGTCTCGGCGAGCCTGGTGTGGGCGCCGCGGGCCTCCCAACCTCAGAGCCGGGGCCCTGCCCATCGCAGCAGCTGGACGAGCCCCCTGCTGTGCCCCTGCCCAGGCGGCCCCCAGCCCTGGCCGACCCCGCCTCGTACCCGCCAGCCGCCGCCGCTCCGGAGCCAGACGCCAGCCCAAGACTGGCCGTGGACTTCGCCCTGCCTGAGGAGCTGCCCCTCATCTCCAGCCGGGTGGATCTGGGCGGGGATCCTGAGGAGGCCGTTGCCCCCGCACAGGTGGCCTTGTCGGTCACCGAGTTTGGACTCATCGGCATTGGGGACGTGAATCCCTTCCTGGCCGCCCACCCAGCGTGCCCTGCGCCCGGGCTGCACGCGGAGCCCCTGTCACAGTGAGTGCCGCCCTCCAGTCTGGGGGCTGAGCTGAGGGCAGCAGGGAGGTGTCAGCCTAAGCGAGGTGTGGCCACGTGGAGCAAGCTCTGTTTCTTTAGTTTTCTGGGTTTAGTTTGCTGTATTTATTTTTTTGACTAGATAACATATTCATAGGGTTCAGAAGGCAGAGGGCACAAGTGGGGTGAGCCGGGCTCCCCGGCACTGCCGCCTGGTCTGTTCAGGCTCTCGGGGGAGGCGGGGTGGGAGCCTGGGCTGCGTGGGGCTGCACTGACCTCTCTGGTCCTGTCGGTCTCTCCTCTGCAGCTGTAACGTGATGACCTGTTGATTCCTGGCGTGGGTGGGTGCGTGTGGCCTGGACTGGACTTGGCGCTGCCACCAAGCCGGCCCTGTCAGTCTTCCTGACCCTTCCCCCCTCGGGCCTCGGGGCAGTACCTTCTCTGCTTCAGAACACGTCAGGACCAGGGCGAGGTGGCCGGGCCTCCAGCCCTTGCCCCTCTCCATACAGACTGGACCAGGGCCACGTGGGCCCCTGCCATCGGCGCCCGGCACTGCCACCTGGCTCCAGGCTGTGCCCCACGGGACTCACCACCTGGCAGTGGGTACGGAGAGGGCCTGGCCCTCGGACGCAGGGCAGAGCTGCCGCCTGGGCCCGTCCAGCCAGCAGAGGCGAGGGGAGACGGCAGGACGCCCTACCCGCACCAGCAGCCTCTGCCCAGGGCGCCCTCAGCCCTGCTTGCTCTGTCTCCCCACCCCGGCCGGGCCGTGGGCCACCCCAGCCCTGGGGTCGGCGGGCAGCTGCTACTCAGTGCCAAATCCTGGGGGCACAGAGCCATATACCTCGCTGTCCGCCCCCACCCGGCCTCACCCTCCGCCCCTGTCGTCTCCACTTCAGGAAAAGCCGCACTTTACACCCCACCTGCCTCCTCCTCCTCTCCAGCCCTGGTCCCCGATTCACAGTCGGGCTGGGGGCCCCTCGGCAGCCCTGGCGTGGGTCGAGGAGACGGGTGACCTGCACCCCCGCTGCCCCTCCCCTGGCACCAAGGCAGGGAGCCTCCGGAAGCGACGCCGAGGGGCTGGACTCCAGCCTGTTCCCCTGACCCTGTAGGTCTTTCTGTTGGAAGCTTCCCAGCAAGGTGGTTTGGGGTCCTTGTCCTCCTCTTTCCCGCCTCCTTTGTTTATTTATGTTTCTGTTTACAAGTTGGAGTGAGGTCCTGGGGGCAGGGCAGCTCGCCCGGCCTGGCGTCGTCCACAGTGTTGTTTTGCTCGAGCCCTTTGCAGAGTTGGACTCGGCCACCCCTCACCCCCACCAAGGACCACACTGTGAAGTGATAACTGCCTTGAACCCCTCTTGCTGTTTTATTTATTAAAGTTGATTTGAAGCCCAGGGGGTGCCTCGTGCTGGGTCAGGAGGGGCTGGGAGTGCAGGTCAGTCGTCGTCTCCAGTGGGCCCTGGGCCTGCGGGGGTCCGTGATGGGTTGTGGCCAGCAGGCAAGGTCCGTTGCAAACTGTGTGCGTCAGTGAGGAAAGCCTGGGCGTGATGATGGGGGGTGAGCGGGGGCGCGTCTGGGCAGAGGGGCTCAGGCAGCCTCCTGGAAGCAGGGGCCGAGGGTGCGGAGCAGGAGGAGCCGGGCAGGCTCGGGGACAGCAGGCAGCTGTGGGGCCGCTGGAGGCAGAGGGAGGGTGGGCCAGCGTGGGCGAGGCGGGGGCCCGGTCGCTCACGGTTTCCCTCAGGACTGGACAGGTATTCCGTCTCCGGTTTGCACTACTCCCAGCAGCATGTCTTCTCTTGACTTTTTTCTTCTGACTGCTTCAAGATTTTTCTCCGTATCACTGGTTTTGAGCAGTTTTTGAGGATGTGTGCATGCAGCGTGTAGCCCTTTGAGACGGGTTCCTTTGGCACGCGTGTCTCTTCACGGCTCAACAGCTTATCTGTTTTCTCGCTGAATAATACTCCACCGGCTGCACCACAGTTTGTTTATCCACCCACCAGCCGAAGGACGTCAGTTGCTTCCCGGTTTTGGCAGTTGCGAGTAAAGCTCCTGGAAAGCACACGTGCAGGCTTTTGTTTGGGCGTAGTTTCCGGCCCGTCGGGGTAAACACCAAGGAGCGCAGTTGCTGGACCGGACGGCCCGAGCGCGTTTGTCGAGAGACTGCCGGGCTGCCTCCCAAAGTGGCCGTGCGACGTTGTGTTCCTGTTGCTCCACGTCCCCACCAGCATCTGGTGGTGTCACTGGTTTGCAGTTTGGCCTTTGAAATGCGGTTTTCCGCAGCCTTTTGAAGACCTGTGTTTCTGCACATTTCTGGTGCCTGTCACTTCTTCCTGCAGACCCCAGGCTGCAAGGAGAGACTCTTTCTTCCGGTCTTGAAGCGCTGCCTTCAGTGTTTATTGTGCTGTAGGTCTGCCGCCAGGGAACTCCCTTAGCTCTGATTTGGATGAAAACGCTCTAATTCCACCTTCATTTTTGAAGCACATTTTGGCAGAATATGGAATTATACGTGGACTTTTTTTTCTTTTGAACATTTTAAAGATATTCCTTTTACTCCTGGTTTCTGTTTTTCCTGATGAGAAATTTTGTCACTCTTTTATTTCCCTAAATCTGAGATCTCTTTCCTCTGAATATATACGTGAGTTTCTGTGTTTGGACTTAGCAGTTTATAACATGCCCGGGTCTAGTTTCCTGCACGACGACGTGGACCTGACGGTGGACGTCCTTCACCAGGCCCCGGAGTCTTGGCCTTCGCTTCTTCAGTCACTTCTGATGCCGAACTCTCCTTCATCATTTTGAGTCTGTGGTCACACGAGTCACAGCCCCGGGTGTCCTCCCACAGGTCTCCAGTGATGTGTGTCGGCCCCGGCTGTCCTCTCACATCTCCAGACATATGTGTCGGCCCTGGGTGCCGTCCCATGGGTCTCTGTAAGTTTTATTCTTTGCTTTCTGTTTCCATTCGAACGATTTGTGTTCACTTGTCTTTGAGGTCACCTAGCCTCTTTTCCAATATTCCAGATTGCTGTTTAGTTCATCCCACAGAGTGTTAAATTCTCAAAATGTTTATTTTATTTTCAGTATTTGTACTTTTGGGTATTTCAAATTTCTCTGCTGAAATTCTTCATTTCTTCACCTTTCTTCCCATCTTTTCTTCTACAGTCTTTAAACTTTTTCAGTAACTACTTTAAATGTTGCTATTCTTTTGTTTTTTATTTTATTTTTTTGTTTTCATTTTTTGAGACAGAGTCTCATTCTGTCACCCAGCTGGAGTGCAGTGGCGTCATCATTGCAACCTCGAACTCCTGGGCTCAAGCGATCCCCCCGCCTCAGCCTCCTGAGTAGCTGGGACTACAGGCGCACATCATCACACCTAGCTAATCTTTCTGTTTTTAGAAGAGACGGGGGTCTCACACTTGCTCAGGCTGGTCTCGAACTCTTGACCTCAAGCGATCCTCCCGCCTTGGCCTCCCAGAGTGCTGGGATTGCAGGCGTGAGCCACCGCGCCCGCCTGTTTCTCTTTACAGTGGGATGAAGATCTGTGACCTCCTGCATTGTAACCACACGTGGAAATCTGCTGGAAAGAGTCAGTGGAGATGCCAGGAAGCAAAGCGGATTCCAGCCCCTGGGCCCGAGGGAGCCAGGCCTCAGCTGGGCCATCTGGAGATTGGACTTCCTGAGACAGTTTCTGTGGGGGGCAAGGGGAAAGTTGCCAGAGGTGGCAGTCCTGGTGGCTACTGTCCCCAGAGGCTCAGCCTCCTCCCCCAGGCCATGTGGAGGATGTGTGCGTTCTGGAGTGTGACTGTTGGTCCCACAGGCCTGGCCCTGCGGTTCAGCCTGCTCATCTCTCCCTTGTGGCCCTGTCTTCCTGGTTTGTGGTGCCTGGGTCAGGTGGCCAGATAAAATACAGGACACCCATTTAGATTCCAATTACAGACAAACATGTTTTAACCTAAGTTACATTTGGGACACACTTAGGCAAAAAAATGGTTGCTGTGCTGGGATTCAAATTTAATTGTATGTCCTGTATTTTTAATTAATTATTTATTTTTCACAGGCATCGGGACTCAGCTAGGGCGTCCTGTGTTTTTATTTGCTGAATCTGGTAACCCTCTTCCTGGGCTGTTCTAAAGTGGCTGTTGAGGCTGTGGGTGCAAAGCGCCCGCTCCATGTGCTTTGCCTGTGTGTCCGGCAGAGGGCGCTCCTGAGTCCACCTGCCCTCTGGGCGGAGCCCAGCACCTGGGGTCATTGCAGGCTGCAAACCTGGCCCCGCCCCTGGAATGAAGGCCACGGGGAGGGTGGGGTGGTGGCTCCGCAAATGTCCCCACTCACACAGAGCCTTCCCAAGCCCTCCTTGTAGAATGCCAGAGCCACAAAACAGCCTGTGCAGGGAAGATTTGGAAACGTCACCTGTAGTGAGCACTTGGGAAATGCCCCGGGACTAGCACATCAGGGTGATGCGGGACAGTGATGGAGTCACAGAGGCACTGAGGATTCTCTGAGCCCCTCCACCACTGCCCCGATCCTTCTTCCTCTTGAGTCGGAGCCTGGGCTTTGGGTCTGCGCACGTCCAGCAGCTTTGCAGACGATCTCAGGTCTTCCGGGTCACTCTCCTTGGCTTCACCGCATCCTGGTTTTGGGGCAGGAAGGGGTGTGATGGGAACGTCACTGAGTATTTCATAGGGTGGCCCCGTACCATCTCCCCTCCTCACTTTGTGCAGGAAGCAGCTAGAAACCACCTCTTCGAGAACATGCTCTGTCCCACTGCTGCTTATATGTCTTGTTTTGCTGTGACCCCATGAAACTTTGTCACAGACGATAGCTCCCTGGAGCTGTAAAATCCCTGATGATCTCAGGCTCGGGCCCTAGCATCGTTCATTCATTACTCAGTAGTTCAGGCATTCACTCAGTAAGCAGGAATTGAGCACCAAGTGTGTGCCAGTCCTGCGGTCCCAGAGCTGAGGCTGGGGAGGAGACAGGGATCTGGGAGTTTGCAGACTCGGGGTGTGGGCCGCGATGGGCGGGGAGGGGGCTGTGCTGTCAGGGTTGTCTGTATGAGGAGGCTTTGTTCACCCAGGACTGAGGGGGTTCCTGGGACTCTATCCCTGAGTCTCAGGGTGTATGACCCTAAATTAAGAGGTGCTCCAGGGATTGCAAAACATATGCTGGATTCCAAATTTCAAGATAGTGGTTTTTAGTTCTTTTTAACCTAGACTCCAGGAAGAAGTCATGGTACCTACCCCCACTGTTCATTTGCCCCTTAAATGATGTTTCCTAATGAGTTTGGCCCTGGGTCAAGCATTTCACAAACTGTTTATTCTTCACTACAAGCCCAGGCAGGAGGTCCTGTCCTGTCCCCATTGTGCAGATGGGAAGACTGAGGCATGTGGAAACTGGGAGTCACACCAGGGTGTCACTCCGAACCATCTGGCCACGTAGCCGTCCCTGCTCACCACCAGCACTTCAGACACACTGAGGGCAACTGCTCCGCTTCAGAACCATCGAGGGGGGCTGGGGTGGGAGGGGTATTGCCCAAGAGCCCCAGGGCGCAAATCTGGGAGATGACTCCTTTGTGACCTTGGGCAAGATACTTCACCTCTCCGAGTCCCAAGAGAAGTATAGAAAGCAAAAGTAGTGGCCGTATGCCCGGCACCTTTCTGCCCACTTCCCAAGGATATCAATCTTCATGACAGTCTGGAAGCAAACCTGGAGCCCATCAGGTTGAGATGAGGCACCACAGTGGCATAGCCAGTGCTGCGCCCAGAGGCAAGAGCTGCAGCCTGCGGTGCTCTGAGCTTCATTGCCTGGTGGTGACCAGCTGGCTCCCAAGTGCTGGTCCTGTCTCCAGGGGACCCAGCTTGGGGCCCAGGTACCGCCAGTCCCCTTCCGGGCCTGCCACCTGCAGGTGAGGGAGAAGCCACACTGGCCTCAGGTTCTTCCTGTAAGGGAAGGACGGGCAGCTGGGGGCCAGCAGATCCCAGCTGTGAAAGCTCTGACAAGTTCCTTGAGGAGTGCAGGACCCCAGCAGCACATGTAGGAGCCTTGACCCCAATCCTAACCCTAATCCTAATTCTTGCTGCCCCCACCAGATTTTAATCCTGCCTCTGCCTGGGGGGTTATAAGGACTGACCCAAATCCTGAGCAGAGGGAAGTGCGGGAGGGGGAACGCTCTCCAGCCTCAGCCCCCTCCCTCTGGCCTCCCTGGATCCTCCCCTGGGTCTCGCCTTCCTGCCTCAGCGCCCAACCCCACAGCCCTCACCACCCCGCCCCCTCCCCCTTACCTGCTCCTGGCCAGCACACAGTAGGTGCTCAGTAAAGACCTCGCATTTCCTGACTCCAGTACAGTGTCATGCCCTCTGCATCTTGGAACAAAGTGTGGAGGGGTCTTCAAGACTGCACTGAGAGGTGGGGGAACCGCAGCTAACCCGCATGCGTGCATGCAGCATTTGTGCCAGGCCGGGCGGGGGTTTAGGGGGCAATTCTCACAACCCTAATTCCATATTCTTTGCATGAATGAACTAACAAGTGAATGACTGGAGCGGCCTGGGGCCCACCCGCTCCGTGAGTGGCAGCGGGGGTTGGGGGAGACCCTGAGAAATAGTCCCTTCTGCAAAGGGTCCAACCCCACTGCCGTGGAGGAAGCCTGGGGTGGGGGAGGAAGCCATGCATTTCGGGATGTGCTGTTGGGCCTGTGGACGGCGCGAGATGCCCTTCCACGCTCTCTGCACACCACGGACAGAAAATCCAGGACCAGAGTCTCCACCCAGGGTCATTTCACGTGCTGCAGCTGCACCGAGGTATTCTATGTGTTGGGTGGGGGGCTCCTCTTCATCTGCTGGGAAGAGGAAGCTGTCCTGCACGCGGGAGACAGTGGCCAGAGAGCACTACCCTCAGCCCCATCCTGTCCTCTGGAGGGCCCCAGACGAGCCGTGCGCGGCCCCACCTAGCCCCGCCGACCATCCGGGAAACAGGATTCAAGGGCTCTGAGCTCAAGTCCCTGCTGCCAGACCTGGGCCAAGTGGCGCCCCTCTCTGGCTCCCTTCAGCCCTGAAAAAGGGCCAAGACACACCCTGTCTTAGGGCTTTTGGGGAGGGAGCTGGTGGTGGGGAGGAGGTCCCGGCGTCCACCCCGGGGCACGGCAGCCTGGGCTCCAATCCCAGCCCTGCCACGTCCTACTGCGTGACTTTGAGTTGACAGAACCAGTGTGAAGGTCCGCGAAAATCACGGCAGGGATGTGTGGAGGTGGGGCCTCCGGGACGGTCCCAGCCCGGAGGACGCCGCATGGGCGCCGGCTCACTGAGTGGACGGGACGGGCCCTCGGGCCCTGCTTTCCCTACCGCAGGTGCCTTTGACCCTGAGGGCTCCCCAGAACCTGGTGGGGGCGAGACCCGGCACCACGTCGTCAGGTCCCCACTTCGGCGCCGGTGCGTGCTCCTCCGTCCAGTGGGCGGCAGGTGTTGGGAGGGGAGCCCACCGCTGCAGGAAGCCGCGGCGCCCCGTCGGTGTAAGGTACGACCTGCTTTCGGGCATTTTACGATGCGCGGCACGAGCGCCATTCCCGAGGAGGACACCGGGGCCGGGTGGCCGGGGGACGTGTCCTGCGGGAGCCGAGCCGTCCTTCCCGCGCCTCCCCGCGCGCGCCGCGCCGGGACGCAGCCGGCCCAACCCGAGGTGGCCGCGAGCCTCCGCCGACCCCGCCCAGCTCGGAGACCCCGCCCCGCTCCGGATCCCGGGACGGGGTGGGGGACGCGGGGTCCTCCGGCCCCCCAGCACACGCGCCCCACCGCGCTCTTGCCTGCGGGGCAGAGTCCGCCCGCCCCGCCCGGCGCTCCTCTCCTCTCTCCTCCCCGCCCGGCCGCTCCCCGCCCTCCTCGCCCTCCTGGCTGGGCCGGGCTCCGCCACCACGTGACCCCGCGGCCGGGCGCGGGCGCGACGGGACGCGCTGGGACCGGCGTCTGGGGTCGAGGGGGCGGCCCGGGGCGGGGGCGATATGGAGCGGAGGTGGGTCTTCGTGCTGCTCGACGTGCTGTGCTTGCTGGTCGGTAAGAGCCGCGGGGACCCGGGTGTGCGTTGGGGACTTTCCCAGGACGGACACGCCCCCAGTCTCCGCGAATGTTTGCAGGCGAGTGGGGAGACTGCTGCGCCCCATCCTCGGAGGACCCCCGGAGGCGGGGGAGCTCGGCGGAGGACCCTCTCGCTCCGCAGACCTACCTCTGCGCCCTCCGCCCTGCGCGCCCTTGCGCCTGCGTGCGCCCCCCGCCTCAGTTTCTCCCCGCGGGCGAGGCTCAGGAGCGTCGAGAGGGGTCGAGGCGCAAGGGTGGGCCTCCTGCGCCCGCGGGTAGGAAGGGGCCGCGGAAGGGCGTACGCGCGCCGCCCCGCCGGCCTGCGAGGTGATTCACTTGGGCGGCGGCCCGGGCGGGAGCGGGGCCGCGGGTCACCCCCGAGGACCTCCACTCCTCCGCCCCAGGGTTGGCTGACACGGGCCTGGAATCCGGGCGCTGGGATTCGAACCCCCGCGCGGGCGGGTGGGTCTGGCGCGCCCTCCCCTCGGGCCTGGAAGAGACGGAGAGGCTGCGGTGCACGGGGCCCCGGGGCAGGCGCGAGCCAAACCTGTCCCGCGGGTTTGCGGGCCAGGGTGGGGGAGGGGGCATCGCCAGCCCGCCCCCTCGCGGTCCCTCCCCCAGGGGCGCAGGAACAAAGGCCGAGTGTTTGCTCTGTGGCCCAGCAGACAATGGCCCCGGAATTCTGGGGGGGGGGTGGGCTGGCGACCATTCGCTGTCCTCCCTCCCCCCAGTGTGGTTCCTGCTTTGCCGCCGGGGCTCGCACCAGGCTAGGCCCTCTTTCCGTATGGGGTGGGCCGGGTGACAGCAAGAAGGCCCCGTGGGGCGTTTGCTAGCCAGCCCTGGGTGGCCTTTCGTGAGCACCTGTGTTACTTAAACATTTATGTGGCGCTTAATCTATGCTAGGCATTAAGCAACATTAAAATAATGAAACCATTCCCTTTAGAGAGCCTGAGGGAGGTGCTGCTGTCCTCCCCAGCTGTGGCCCCGAGAGGTCGAGCCGCCTGCTGGAGGTCACACCGCAGCGGGAGGCGGAGCTGAGAGCAGATTGGGTACTGCTGCAGCCTGCCCTGTGGCGGTGGCCCGGGCAGCGCCGGCTTCCATTCTAGAAGCTTGAAGACACACGCCGTCCAGGGTTTTAGGTGGCGTGAGGGCGGGGAGGCTCTCAGGGTGCCTGAATGAAGAGGGGCAGTCCGTGTTGGGACGCGCCGATGGGGGTGTCTGGAAGGTGCTGGGGCAGGGGGTGGGAGGGGCCGGGCTTCGTTTCTCAGCGCCTTGTAACCCTGACCCTTTAGTACGCTGCGGCCCAGCCTCTTCCCCCACGCCCTGCCCGCCCGGCGGTGCAGCTCCACCCCCGGCCCATTGCCTGCTCCCTCTGCCGCTCTCTTGCCACCTCCTCTGAACCGTCTCTCCTCCTTCAGGCACCCCCCACCCCGCAGCCCACCCCACAGCCCCATGTAACCCACAGCTGCCTCCCAGACCGCCACCTCCTCTTCTGCTCTGCACCCCTGTCCTGTTCGTCTTGTTCCCTAGCCTCTCTGTCCCAGGCTGTGAGGTGGACCTCTTTGCTTTCCTCACTGGGTTACATCCTCAGACTCAGCATGGAAAGTGTTCGGCAGTGTCGCCGAATGGGCCTATGGGGAGGAGTGTGGGGACCCCTGCCCCTCCTCTGGCATCCAGGGCTCTGAGAAGCCACACCATTTTATACTTGTGCGGGGCACAGGCGTCCTACCTTGGTTGGTCTCTGGGGGAGCTGGCCCCGGCTTTGGTCGTGCACCTGCCCATGGAGTAGGGAGCCGCCCTCTGCCCCAGTCCTCTGTAGCTGGCTCCTGCCTCCCTGGCCACCCTGGGCTCATTACTTGGTGTCTTTGACCCCCGGGCTATTGGACTGGGCTCCCTGAGGCCAAGGCTGTGTCTGTCCTGGTCTAACACTTGGCCTGGCCAGGCCCAAGCAGGCTCCGGGGACTCAGCCCTGCACGTGACAGGCCCCACCTGGTGCTCAGGGACGGATGGGGAAATTCAAGCAAGTGCCACACAAGTGATTGCATGATTCCACGTGGGGACAAGGGATACGAATACAGGCCTTTCTTGTTCCGGGAGTGATGCCAGGGGTGGAGGGGCAGGAGGGGGAACGAAGCTGAGACTAGAAGGTATCAAAGATATCTGGGGCACAGAGAAGTGCCTGTGCAAAGGCCCTGGGATGGGCGCTTGCTGGGTGTGTTCAAGGTGCAGAAAGGAGGCTGGAAGGTGAGGGGCGAGGGCAGAGATGGGTGAGGGTGGGACGAGGGCCTGGGGAGGGGTTTGGGGATTGTCTGAGGGTGAGGGGAGCCAGGGTGCTTGAATGGTGCAGCAGCCTCCATCTGCCATGAGAAGAGCTCCTCCTACCTGTGCGAGGGAGTGGAGGTGGGGGACCTGGGGGCCAAGGCTCAGCTGCGGGAGAACCACGCGGCTTCCTGGGCTTCTCTCCCTCACCCCAGCCTCTCTGCCCTTCGCCATCCTGACGCTGGTGAATACCCCGTACAAGCGAGGATTTTACTGTGGAGATGACTCCATCCGGTACCCCTACCGTCCAGACACCATCACCCACGGGCTCATGGCCGGGGTCACCATCACGGCCACTGCGGTCCTTGTAAGGCGGGAGGGGTTGCGGGTGGGGAGGGGCACAGCCCTGCCCTGGAGGTCTGTGGGGCCTGATGGCACCGCTCTGCCCTGGGTGGTACTTGTGGGGACAGGGCCCCTTTTGGAGTCCCCAAGCCCTCAGCAGCCTCAGGGTGGTCCGGGGGCTGGCCGAGACCCCTGGCAGTCCCCATGGGGACTTGTGGCCCTTCGGCTGCCCTCTGCAGGTGTCTGCGGGGGAAGCCTACCTGGTGTACACGGACCGCCTCTATTCCCGCTCCGACTTCAACAACTACGCGGCGGCCCTGTACAAGGTGTTGGGGACCTTCCTGTTCGGAGCTGCCGTGAGCCAGTCACTGACAGACCTGGCCAAGTACATGACTGGCCGTCTGCGGCCCAGCTTCCTGGCTGTCTGCGACCCCGACTGGAGCCGGGTCAACTGCTCAGTCTACGTGCAGGTGGAGAAGGTGTGCAGGGGAAGCCCCGCCAATGTCACCGAGGCCCGGTGAGTGTGGGTTGGCAGCCTTCCCTCCGGGCGATGCAGGGGGAGGCTGAGCCCCAGTTGCCCCCTCTCCTGTGGGAGGGTGGGGCCGGGGAAGCCCCAGGCGCTGGTCAGACGGGCGGGCAGGAGCAAGACCTCGGGGCCCCGTGGGTCCTGCAGACCCTGCGAGGCCACCGGGAGGGAAGCCCCTCCCTGAGTTTCAGGCCCTGGCCACTGGCTTCTGCCCCGTCTTCGTCTTCGTACCATCCCTACTGATAGCTCCTTAAACGTCTCATCTAATTGATGTGCTTTTTAAAAATTAAAGTTTGCGTAACATAAAATTCACTGTTGTGTCCATGTTGATGAGCACATTGTTAGCACATTCACGGTGTGGCGCACCCCCCTGCTCTATCCAGTGCAGGAATGTTTTCATCACGCCCCCGAGAAACCCCGTCCTCATTCGCTGTCAGCCCCAACCCTTGGCGACCACTAACCTGTCTTCTGTGTTTTCAGAGTTGGTCCATGTCGGAGCGTTCTGTATTTTGGGGCTCTGTCGTTCAGTATTTACCTCTTTGTAATTGTTATATTTTCTTGATAGATTGACCCTTTTATCCTTATGAATGATACATGGTTTTTTGTCTCTCATAACAATTTTTGTCTTAATGTCTATTTTGTCGAATATTAGTATACATATTGCGGTTCTCTTGTAGTTACTGTTTGCATGGAATATTTTGTTTTCCATTCTTGTACTTTCAACCTATTTGTATCTTTGGATCTAAAGTGAGTCCTCTGAGTTATGTTTTTAGTAGGGGTTACAATTACCATTTTAGTTTATAACAATCTAGTTTAGATTAATGACAGTTAAATTTCAATATTACGCACAAAGTTTGCTGCTCTATAGTATATACCATACTATATAGGTGTGGTGCCCAGTGATGTTATTGGCACAGATTATATCTTTATACTTTGTATGCCCAGCAACGTAAGTTTACAATCACTGTTTTATGCATTTGTTTTTTAGAAATCATCTAGGAATAAAAGAGGAATTACAAATCAAAAATATATTAATACTGACCTACATGATATAGTTACCTTTACTGGTGTTTGTTATTCTTTCTGTGGATTCAAGTTACTGTCTAGTGTCCTCATTTCTCCCTGAAAGACTCCCTTTAGAATTTCTTGCAGGGCAAGTGTACCAGCAACACATTCTCTCAGGTTTTGTTTATCTGGGAATGTCTCGGTTACTCTCATTTTTAGAGCTTTGCCAGATACAGAGTTCTTGGTTGACAGGCTGTGTTTTCACTCAGCACTTCACTGACTTCTGATGAGAAGTGAGCTGCTCGTGTCCCTGAGGGGCCCTTGTGCAGAATGAGTCGCCCCTTGCTCTCGTGCCGTAAGAGTCTCTCTTTGGCATTATCTTTCGATAGTTTCATTCATATGTGGTCCCTTTGGGTTTATCCTACCTGGAGTTCATTGAGCTTCTTGGATGTGTAGATTAATGTTTTTCATGAAACTTGGGAAGTTTTCAGCCATTATTTCTTCAAATATCCTTTCTGCTCCTTTCTCTCCTCTCCTGGAATATCCGTTAGGTGTATGCTGCTATGATTGATGGTGTCTCACAGGTGTCTGAAGCTCTTCATTTTTCTTCATTCTTTCTGCTTCTCAGACTGAATAATCTCAGTTGACCTATCTCTGAGTTCACCCTCTTCTGCTTGCTCAGACATGCTGTTGGGGATTTTTATTTCAGATATTATATATATTTTTTATTTTTATTTTTTTAGAGACAGGATCTTGCTGTGTTGCCCAGGCTAGGGTGTAGTGGCACAATCACAGCTCACTGCAGCCTCAAACTCCTGCACTTAAGCCATCCTCCTGCCTCAGCCTCCTGAGTAGCTGGGACTACAGGTGTGCACCACCACGCCTGGCTAATTTTTTTAGGTTTTGTAGAGATGGGGTCTCACAATGCTGCCCAGGCTGGGCTGGAACTCTTGGCCTCAAACAACGCTCCTGCTTCGGCCTCCCTAAGTGCTGAGATTACAGATGTGGCCTGAGACATTGTTCTTACAGTTCCTTTAGCTCTTTGAACGTATTGTAAATGGCTAATAAAAAGTGTGTGTCTAGTAAGTCCAACGTCTGAGTTTCTTCAGGGGCAGTGTCTATTAATAGATTATTTCTTTTTGTATTGGCCACACCTTTTTTTACCACATGCCTTTTAATTTTTTTGTTGAAAACTGAGTGTATTGAATATCATAACAGCTCTGGAAATAGGATTCTACTCCCTTCCGTCCGTAGGGTGTGTTATTGCCGTTTGTTGTACTTATTGTTTGTGTAATGACTTTTCTGAACGAATTTTTGTACAGTCTGTAATCTTTGTCAGCTGTGGCCATGATGTTCTGTTAGCTTAGGGGTCAGCTAGTGATTTCACAATTTCTTTGAACACCTGAAACTCCCCCCAAAAACTCGCAAGGTTTGCAGAAAGGCTCTATGTCGGGACAGAAATTCAACACGTGAGCAAGCGTGTAGCTGCCCTAACTCGCACCTCTTCTGTGTGCAGAGCCAGCGAGCTCTGTGCGCCCAGGGCCTTTACGGTATCTTCTGAGCCCCCGCCCAGCTCTGGCCTTCTAGATTCAGAGCACCGGATTCCCCAGCCTGTCTCTTCCGTGCCTCAAGTGCTTGCCATGGCCCAAGGCAGCGGTGACCGATGCTGTTAGGTGGTATAAAGGCCAGCCCTCGGGCCACCAGACTAGTCAAGACACACAGTTGCAGTTCTTTGCAAACCTGTCTCTGGTGCCTGTGCAGGGCATGTGGTCTGCTAGGGTTAGGGTCAGACCATTCGGGGCAGTGGGAGGGGACCAGGAACAGTTAAAATGCCGCAAAGCTGTTTGTTCTGAGATTCCACTGGCTTATCTTCATCCAGTTAGGGTTAGGGTTTTCCTGTGGTTGCTGCAAGCTTCCGAGTAGGTCCAAAAATGTCGATGGTGACCCTTCACCAGTTTTTTCTTTGGTTTTGGAGTTTCTTGCTATGCTGTTTTCTCCACTTGCATTGATGTCCTTTACTCAATCTTGAGTTTATATAGAAAGAAAACGTGAAACTTCCCTCAGTTCCACAGACAGGAAATAATCCTGAAAAGAAAGAGCGCAGACAAAACTGGTGTTAACTGTTTGCTAGACACAGTCGTGTTAATTTAAAAAATTATGGACGAGGTTTATGCTTCTGGAGAAGGAGAGCTTTATTTCTCGTAAAGGGGAGCAGGCCGAGCCGGCCAGAGCCAGGCACGCGCGCTTCAGAGAGGACATGGGCACCGGGACTTCACACTGAGCAGGACGGCCAGCTGCACGTACTTAACACGCTCCAGGAGGAGTCCTGGATGTTTATGAGGGGGTCATAGGAGGGAAAAGCTCTCCTGGGATTCAAAAGTGTCTAAGACCAGCGGCTTCCACGCGAGGAGCTCCCAGACTTTGGGGAAGACAGCCAGAGGCGCGGGACCAGGGAGGGGTTTAAAGATGCCACCCGACTGCCTTCTTCCCTAGGTTGTCTTTCTACTCGGGACACTCCTCCTTCGGGATGTACTGCATGGTGTTCTTGGCTGTGAGTCTGTCGCCCGGGGAACCAAGGCTAAGTCACTCCCTTCCCTTCCCTGGGCCTCAGTTTTCCCATCTGTAAGGTGGGGTGGGTGGGAGTGGTGATGAGAGGTTCACTGGTTTGTTCGTAAGGACTGGAGGCCCTGGGTCCACCCGATCCGTGCTCTCCTGGCCTTGGTGCTGCCGTCGGTGCAATGGGTGTGGGGTGCCTGGCCGGTGCCCAGGCTGACGCACCCTCGCCCTGTCCCAGCTCTACGTGCAGGCGCGGCTCTGTTGGAAGTGGGCGAGGCTGCTGCGGCCCACAGTTCAGTTCTTCCTGGTGGCCTTTGCACTCTACGTGGGGTACACCCGAGTGTCTGACCACAAACACCACTGGAGCGACGTCCTTGTTGGCCTCCTGCAGGGGGCGCTGGTGGCTGGCCTCACCGTGAGCTCCTGGACCCCATCCTTAGTCCAGAGCACCCCCACCCCAGTCCTTCCCTGGGTCCCCTCTCTCCTCCTTCCCTGGCCCCCTCCCCCCAAGTCCTTCCTTGAGCCCCCTCCCCACTCCTTCCCTGGGTCCCCTCCCCTCTAGTCCTTCCCTGGGCCCCCTTCTCCCTCCATCCCTGGCCCCTCCCCCCATCCTCTCCATCCGTCCTCCCCTAGGGTTCCACTCCTTCATCCCAGGCTCTCTTCCTCTTGCCCACCCCATGGTAATCCTTCCTCTCGGCCCCCCACCCCCACCCAGGACCCCAGTCCTCCCACCCTGCTCACTCCTAGTCCCTGCCCAGCCCCACCCAGCTTCTCACCTTCCTCCCTTCTGCCAGGTCCGCTATGTCTCAGACTTCTTCAAAGCCCGGCCCCCGCAGCACTGCCCGGAGGAGGAGGAGCTGGAGCGGAAGCCCAGCCTGTCGCTGACGCTGACCCTGGGCGAGGCTGACCGCAACCACTATGGGTACCCACTCTCCTCCTGAGGTCACCCGCCCAGGCAGGGACTGGCCGTGAGTCCGGCTGAGGCCCGGGGCCTGCCCTGGTGCGGCCGTGCGGGCTCGGGACAGGCGGACTGACGGTAGCAGGGAGCGGGCTCCACTGCCCGCCCCTCCGCACTGGACCAGGGCTCTGGGGTGCTTGGCCAGCCCCGAGTATCTGGGGGGTCTGTCCTCAGAGCTCCCTGAATACCCGCTTTCCGTTATGGGGTTAGGGCAGGGACCAAGAGAGTAGATGGATGCTGTTTTTGTAAGATGTAATGTACATGTGGATTTTTAGTAAAATAGGGCATTTGTTTGACAAATGGTATCGGTGCCTCTGTTCCTTTGGCCGTTCTGAGGACAGTGTTCCTACAGCAGAGGGGACCTCCCCTGTCGGGGGCTCAGCGAGCTCAGGGGTCGTCTCGCTGCTGAGGGGTGGGATGCGGTGGAGGAAGGGCTTGTGCCGAGTCGGCCTTGAGGTTCCCCCCAGTGAGGAGGCTCTGCTAGAGGGGCCTGGAAGGCCCAAGGCCCGCGGTTGAGGCTGCAAACGCAGATGCGAGCGAGAGCACGGCCAGCCGGCCAGGTGCCAGGTCGTGGGGGGCAGCTTCCAGGAGGTCTGCAGGAAGAACCTCTGGTTGGGTCTGCAGGGTCACACACAGGGTCTGGCCTGGAGTGTGACTCCTCACCCCCTTCCCGCAGCCTGTTCTTTCCTCTCGCTAACCCTCTGGGCGCTGCTCCAGCCCCGAGGCCTCAGAGCCCCTCTCCTCACTGGACGGGGACCCCTGCCCTCCAGCCCTCCAGCCCTCCCCTCTGTGCAGTGCCACTCCCAGCTGCACACGTCCCCAGGGTTCCTGGGGGCCCTGTAGGAGGCCCCCTTGCACTCCCTGGGTCCTGTAGGCCCAAAGCTGGTACCTCTGGCATGAAGCAGGCTGTGCAGGCCCATGGGTGTGGCGGCCACACTCCTGAAACTGACGACTGAGGGGCTGTGGTCCCCGAAGCTGTCACAGAGCTTAGTTTTTCAAGGGGAAGGTAGAGTAAATTTAGGTTTTTACTGAACATCTCTTCGCAATGGATGAATTAAGTATCTAACTGTTTTTTCTGCACCTAGCACCTGTTTTGTTCCTTACACCTGTGGGTGGTCCTGTCAGGCCTTAGCAGGACAATGCAGCACTTGGGGGAAGGAAGGCGCCGGGGAGCCCTGCACAGGAGGCCAAGACTGAGAAGAGCCCCATGGCCACTGTGACCTCCCCTGGGGCTGTGGTAGACAGGGAGGAAGGTCACCCAGATGGTACAGAACAGCAGCATGCTGGACCTCGGAAACTTGGCTCCACGAAAGGTGTCAGGCAGGCTCTGGGCCAGGGAAGTCGAGGTGAAGCTTTCCAGGGCCAAGGAGCCCAGGTATCCCAGGATGCAGCCGCAGGCGGTGACGCGGCCCTCACTGTGCATGAGAAGGACGTGTCCAGGCTTGGGGGTGGTGTGTCTGTGTCAGTAGATAGGGTGGGGTTCCCAGCCACACCCCACTGAGCCGTCACTCGGGTGAGGAGCAGATGGGAGTGGCACACAGGTGCCCTGACGCCTGCCACCTCACTTTCCTCCAGGTGCGGTGGCCTTGAAGGCCAGGACCACCATGATGGTTTCACCAAGACAGTGGAACAGCCACAGTAAATGCAGCTCCAAATGTGGACTGCTGGAGGCCACGGCCTGTGGGAGGTGGCATCTCTCACTGTTTGGTGCTCATCATCTGGACACTTCACCCGCCGTCTGCACTGATGGGAAGAGCAGAGATGCAGCGCCAGGCCCGGCGATCCTTACGGATTCCCAACACCAAAATGCAGGCCTGTTGGAAGTTGGGACACGTTTCTCCACCCACGTGGCTCTACAGGGAAGCGCTCATGCATAATTTTAGGTTTATACTGCCCACACCCTTATGGCTTTATGGAAAAAATAATTTTTTCCCTTCATTGTACAAAGAAGATACTTCTTTTGTGGTTTCTCGCAGGAAACTCATAGACGCTCGGCCGTGTAAATATTGTTTCTCATGGGCATGTGCTCGTGGCCCAGCATCCCTGCCTTCTGAGCTTTATTGGTTCTTGGAAAACCCCTCCTAAGTATTTGATGATATGCAGGAATTTCTGTTGAGTTTTTTAGGTACAATATGTTATTGTGCTTTTATGGATCATGTGTGCTTTTTATAGGGTGCATACTGAAGTACTTTGGGGTGAAGTCTTGTGATGTCTGCAACTTACAATATTTCACAGTACAAAGGCGTGAAGCAAATATGGCAAAATATCAGTAATTATTAAGTGTGTGTACTGTGTTTATAGATATTCATTATGCTACTCTTTACTGTAGTTTGAAAATTTTTATATTAAGTCATAAAAGGAAAACTCTGCCTAAGGAAATTTTCCTAAATTGAAAATGTCATTATCTTTACTTTCAATTTACTTTAAAAAATGAACAATACTTATTCATTTTTTATTTCTCTACTGAATCCCTATTTAAGTTGAAACAACATAAAATCCTACAGGTTTACACCTGTAATCGTAGCACTTTGGGAGGCTGAGACAGGAGGATTACTTGACGCCATGAGTTCAAGACCAGCCTGGGCAACATAGTGAGACCCCGCCGCCAATTCTACAAAAAAAATTTTTTTTTTTTAATCAGCAGTGCATGGTGGTGGCGCCTGTAGTCCCAGCTATGTGGGAGGATCCTTTGAGCCCAGGAGTTGGAGGCTGCACTGAGCTATGATTGTGCCACTGCACTCCAGCCTGGGTGACAGAGTGAGACCCTATCTCTGAAAAAAAAAATCGTAGTTAACAACAAGGTTATTTTAATTTTTAATGTTTTTCCTCAAAATTACCCATGGCAGTTGCAGTCATGCAGTCTTCTCTGGACAAGGCTGTTGATAGAGATTTTGTGGCATCAGCCTCCAAGGCCAGTTGTGCAGTGTGGCTTGGGCGTTTTCCCAGGAGGCTTGCTAAGCCTCAAGCCTGCTGTCTGGCCCTCAGCAATACTCTCCGTCACTTACCACCTCTTGGAAAAGAAAGAGACACATTGTACTGTAATTTTAAAAGTCTGTGACTGTTCTTAAATCTCATTCAGCATATTTCTCGGAGACTGGACAGCTCCTAGGTCTTATCCGTCAGCCTGTTGACTCTTCCCATTTCTGAGACATGAACATGTTCCAAAACTTTTTTGTTAGCTTCATTTTTTTTT